TCTATTTTCCTCTGGAATGTTTTTCCTGTGAATTTCGTATCCTTTCTCACGGGCTGCTTATTTCACTCGTTCATAACCGGCCCCTCCCCCTGGCCGTGATTGTTCATCTCTTCTCTACTTATTCCATTTTTTGTGGTTTTTTGTAAATTTTTCACATCCCATCTCAGGTCACTATTAGTATTTCTAATCTCAGGTCGCTAACGACATTTTATTTTCATGTCTGTCGGTAAGCCGGCTAAGGCTGGCAGGAACGACTCTAGAGGAGGCCGCCACTTATTGTGCTTAGGGAGAACTATCACCTCGGGTTTGTGGTTGCCCTACCTCAACATCTCATCGCCATCTTGGAAAAAAAAGGAAAAAAAAAAATCAATCAACCAGTCAATGTCTCTTGTACAAAGTCTAATTTTATAGTGTATTAGTTTATAGTACCTAGTTCTTAGTTTATTACTATTACTGTAGTCTGTAAAAATTAATTAAGTGTTTATTCTAATAAGGTAGTTTAAGTTACACTTCGCGTAATTAATCCACACAACCAATTCAGACTAAAACATACTTTGATTAAAACAATATCGCAGATAATGAAATCAAAAGTTGATCGACTTGGTGTGGAATGACCCATTTTTTTACAATATTTTGTAATTGTTTCAAAAATCTGTTTGAATAAAATTGGGATGTTGTATACATAAATAATATACAGGATGCCATATAATATACAACTAATGTAATAGCCGAAAAGGGGTGGTAGGCGGGACCATACTGAACAACTTTTTCTTTTGCCAAAATATTGGTTCAGATTTTATTTTGGAGTTATTAACAGGAAACATTTGTAGACTATTCCGGGTTAAAGGTGGGAAATAGAAAAAAAATAAATTAGAGGCCGAGCAACAGTTTAACAAATAACGGATACGGAGGGTACTTAATGTTTCAATTCAATTTTTCTGGATAGACTCTCGCGCATCTTCCTGTACAGAGTATTTATGTCTTCCCAGGACGCTGCGAAGGGAGAAAAACACGGAGTGGGAATGGGGATGACGTTTCCCGAAATCGGGAATTCCCATTTTCCCCTGCGGCGGTCACCCGGCCCAAAACCGTTGACCGGTGACCCATCCGGCCCTCGACATACAAATTACCGTGACAGTAATAAACCCAAGGATCGCCTCGACTTTTCAAACTACATGTACCGAAAAAAAGAAATACAACTACGCCAACCCTGGGCTCAATGTGCCTACCAACTGGTAAAACGGACAAGTAATAGTTCCTTGGTCATTTATTGTTACTATGGCAAACCCCAATATTCTAAAATACTCGAAAATATAAAATTATGTTTACACTACATTTTTGTATTCATTATTCGACATAATTTTCATCTAACAGCTTCCTATTAAACCGACCCTCATAGTATCATCTTATTATACCGATCGGCTGTCACACTTGAAGCTGTCGCTCACACGCGCCCGGTCCACGCGAGCTCTCCTTAGTCAGTGATTTTTTCCTCATAACTCTAAAATGAAGTCTCAACCAATATTTTGGCAAAGAAAAAAGTTATTCAGAATCGTCCCGCCTACCAAACATTTTCGGCTCTTGCACTCAATGTGAAACACTCTATATGTATATTTAATGATGAATAATGTTTATTTGATTTATTTGTCACATAATATTACCTAGTAACTTCAAATAAGCTGGCGGCATGTAAGCAGATCATAATCATTAATGATTCTGTTCCAACATATGTAGTTGAAACTATCGCTATCCATAAATAGTAAAAAGTGGTAATAATAATAGGATGTTTTTCTTTGTCGAAGAAAGTTACCACATCTACTGGTAACTTTATTGGACGAGATTCATTGAGGGGCATAATTATGTCCAAAACAATAGGTGAAAGATGGCATAATATCATTACGCCCGCCGCCGAATAAACAAATGCTGTAAGACATACGACATCATTAGCTTTGTACTTTACAAGTTACCAACCTTAAAATCTTCAGTTACACGCAAAAAGTGTTGACAGCTGTTTTCCCACAGAGTTGTATTTCTGCATAATTTGGTGTATCACGTTGTTTTTCGTTTGCAAATGGAATTTAATTCGATCCATTATTCCTTTTACCTGCATTTTACAGTAATGTTTATATTGCTAACTTACTGTTATATTTTGTAACTTACTGTATTAACATGATAGCAAAGTGCATGATATTTTACAAGTGTCCCCATAGTCACAGTCATAATCGTCAGGTTCTTTAACACACGGTACAATGTCATTTCCACAGTGGTAACGGCTAAAACCTAAATAATTTTATTATACCGTCAACTGTTACATTGATTGAGTAAAAAAGCAACATATATAATTGGTTAGCAATAAAATAGAAAAACCAGAATGATGTGACATCGTTACACAAAATAATGATCCAATGTAAAAAACAAAATCCGTGGATATTCTAATAAAAATACTACCTTGCCCGAGTTTTTGGCTTGATAAGGTAAATGATTTCCTTACCCGGATATGTAATAAACTGGATATTTAAAAATACTCATTTGTTATTGATATTTACAGATTTCTCCATAATATAGCGATAACTAAATGTTAGTTCTAAGCTCCTGAGTCAGTTAGTTTTCAAACAGCACATTGTATATTTATCAATAAATTACGAGTGAACATTATACTTGGACTAATATCTTCTTTATTTTATAATTTTAATAAAAATTAAATACTTCCTGTTATTATACTGTTAAGTACCGTTTGTTCTGTTGATTTTAATAAAAATACCGTAAATTCTGCCATATTTTCGCGAAACTGATGGTCTGAGAAATATGAGTAATTGAGTAATTATTGACTTATATAAAAATCCGTACTTACTCTTCGCAATAGACACTTCAGTACTTGTTACCTAAATGTACTTATAACCTGCGATCGTGTAAGATCTTTCGGTTATTTTAATTAGTATTCATAAAAGAATGAAATAAACAATTAGTTACGAAAAACTACATTTACCTTATTCTACTACAGCGTGAATAAAATGTCATGGACGTATGAATTAATAAATTAAACAAAGCTTATACTCGATACCTGAACTGATATACAGAGGCCAATGTTAAAGCCGACAAAAATATTTTTAAACAGTCGGAGCATTCTGCTTTCATACGGCCAAAGTCCTAGCACTGACAAAAGAAAGACACAGAGTTTATTGCAATCAGTCAATTGCACCATCGCGTGTGTGGGTTCAAACACAACTGATCTCGGAGTTACTTATGCACCCTCTGTTTTCTTTAGCTCCGCAAGAACATCATATTTTCAAAGAATATTTTGATAAAATGTTGCAGGAAGTTTCTTACCAGAGTAAAATGATTGACAGATTCTACAATTCTAAAATTACTTATTCATATTTAGGAAGGGTATGAGTAAAGCAATACCTACAGCTCGTCTTGGTACGGTGGGAAAATTATGGGGTGCAAGAAGTCATAAGAGAAGAAACTTTTTCGAATAATTTTTATATTTTATATTTCTCCGAAGCAAGTCTACGAGCGGGGGCATTGTTCGATCGCCTTCAGTCGGTTTACTTCCTCCGAAGAGAGTAGACGTGTCCAGTAGCAAACAAGTGTCAGTAGTGGAAAGTTATAAAGTAATATAGACGTAATAGATATTGGTGAGTTTATATTTCCTTACAATTGTAACAACCCTGGAACCTAAGTTCAGATAGTTACAAGCGCTAAAAGGTAAAGAGCGGCTTTTACCCCTAAACGACTCGATTTCGCAAGTAAAGATTGTGGGATTCGTGTGGTGTGCGGTTAAGTAGTGAAATCCACAGGTCGAAATCTTTCAACAATTAGATTTATTCAATAAACGATAAGAAATGAAACTAACAAACAACAATAACAACAAAAAAAAGAAAAGTATATAAATTATAAATGATTGATTAGAATAAAGAACTAAATAGATCTTGATATAATGGTAATAATAGAAATAATAGAATTTGACAAATTAAACAATATGTAATAGGTAATCGTGAATTTAACGATATAAAACTCGCTGGTTAGTACTTTATATTGGATCGTATCTAAATCAGATCTCTGATAAAGCAAACTTCGCATTTGTAATATTAACTAAATTTGATATTCCTTATATACAGGGTGTTCGGCTCCTGGTGGGCATAATTTTAGGGGGTGGTAGCTGGGGTGATTCTGAACAACTTTTTCCTTTACCAAAATGTTGGTTAAAGCTTAGTTTTTGAATTATTAATGAAAAACATTGACCAATCAGAGCGCGAGAATAGCGCGCGCTCAGATGCGAGAGCGACGGGTGCAAGCGTGACGATTGACCCTGGTCGTGAACAAACAAGGCGCGCGATATCGGTAACATAGTTACCATCATCGGTAATACGTCAGCCGGTAAGTAGTTATAAAATTCACAACTATTAATAAGTATAAATTTATTAACGAAACTAATTGTACGGATTAAGCGAAAATAAAGGTAAAGATCAAGCGCAGTTTCTTTAGGTAATTCAAAAAAATGATTCCGTAATAGATATTGGTGAGTTTATATTTCCTTACAATTATGTATCCAATATCAAATTTGAAAGTTCTGGTACGGATGTATGATATTGATAGAATAAATTGTGGTATTGATAGAATGAATTGTGAAGCAAGGAAGTAGATTAGAAAATTATGATTATCATAAACTGAAGGATAATAGTAATTACTATTGTAGCAGGATATACATAATTAAACAGGATATACATTGACCCGTTAAAAGCAAGATTTATTAAGAAGATTAGAAATTTTTACAAGCAACAAAGATAATTACAAAATGAAAAAATTTCCTTCGTACATTGATATAACCGGAGGGTTAGGAGTGGATAATGTGGAATTTATATGCACGCGTTTATTGAAATAGAAGACAAAAAGGGAAAAGACTTTAATCGGATAATAGTTGAAAGTTATAAAGTCCGGTAGAGGTGACAGAAATTGTTCACAGGATAGGCAAATGTTAAAAACTGGATTTATTGAAAAGATTGGAACGTTTGACAAGGAAATTAGGTTTTATAAAATATACAACATACACAAACAAAATTATATTATTTTGTTTGTGTATGTTGAAATCCCGTTAAATCATTAAACACGGCGAACATATCTTATTTGATTAATTAGAATTATTATATATTTCAATAAAATATCTTTTTTGTAACTATAACCCGCGTAACTCTCAATTATTCTTATTTGTCAATTCTAAGCTGCAGGGAGGTATAGCGCAACACCGACCAAGAGGGATCACCACACGCACGGTAAAATTTATATTTCAATATTTTTCGACTGCATGACTCGTTTTAACCAAGCGGCCACGAGACTCTAGCATATCCTTTTTCGGCCGACATATGTTCGGCCGCGAACCGAAACCTATGCCGCGGCTAAGCAATTTAT